CTCATCAACCTACATCACAACATCAAAACACACATAAAAACACTCTAAAACTCTCTCAAGAATGACAAAATATCGAATTAAGTGATATAAATATCATGAGTGTAGAACACTCATCAGAGGGCATCATGAGACACTATATTGGTTGCACTCCTATTGTCAACCAAGATTTTTCTTATTTCAAAGTTGGCGATGATGGTAGATATGACTAAGGCATCATCACGAGGAGATGATATGCCTTCCATGTCGTTTAATCCAAATGTAATATCTTCCATATTGTAAAGGGTCGTCTTTGGAGTTGAACTATATCGTCTGGCATATTGCTTACGCCCGCTATTTGAATCTCCACCCTAAATTATCACCCTGACTTTAATATTGATAGTACATGTCGTGCCTCCTCTGAATTTTGGAATCTTTCCTTTGTTTTCACTCTTGGGACGCTTGCCGTGCCCAATATACACCTTTAGAAATCCCATTTTTATCTATGTTTCGATCTTCCATTGTAATGTTATGCAATCTTCCATGGTATGCATATAATCACACTGGTATTTACAATATTTACTCTTATCCCTAGTCTCAAAGAAGATCGCAACCTCGGGGACCATTTGAGCTTCTTCATATCCTTGATCTCCATCAATATGTTGGTCCTAGAGGTATTCTAATGAGTAAATGGTGTAGGTGGTATTTCCTGTCTCTGTTTAGCTCGAGCATGATCTTATCGCATATTTGACTCATGTGGCCTCTTATGTTCGGGCTTCTTAGAGGTTGGACCAATTTTCATTGTTTCCTCCATGTTAATATATTTTTCTCCCCGTGTAAAGAGCTCAGTCATTGATTTTTATGGGGTCTTAAATAGAGACATCTTGAAGGCTTCACGCCTTATTGTATATGTTAAAGATGAGACAGCTGCTATAATGTGAAGGTCGAGAATCTATAGTCTTTCTTTATTGAACTTTGTATTAAAGTTTCACAAGGTCTCATTTGGCCATTGGCGAAGTTACATGAGTGAGACGACAATCTTCCTGATGCACTTACTACTTGCAAAAAAAAAAAATGACACTATAAAATTAGGCTCCAATTTGGTGAACCAGTTCCTGGCGACATTAATCAAAGTTTGAAGAAAGGCCGTAGATATCATTGGGTTTGGTGCGACCTATAAGTTCATGACATCCATATATACATTGAGGTGATTGATGAGGTCACTGGTCACATCATACTCCTTTATGCGGAGGAACTTGAACCTGTCTAGAAGTGGATATGAGAGTACTTCCGGTGTGAATAGAGTGTTAGGGATAAATCCTGTTGTTCTCTGGGTATTCTGCAGTAGACCGGTGGTAATCCCATCATGTACGATCCACGCAAATTCGATTGAGTTCATGTAACCAATCTCGAGGTCAAAGCTACTGGAGGTGGGCCCCTGATCCACCATTATCATGGATGTCGTGAGTATCCCGAGCTCGAGCACTGGCCACGAAACCTCCTCGGTGCCGGTGCCACATGAGAATTTCTTTTATTTAGGAATTGAGACAGCGTGGCAACTTGTGGGGGGAGTTATTTAAATGCTCCAGCGGTAATCACTGCTGGATGATGAGTTGGTATTTCTGATAATTCTTTTTAGTGAATTGGGGGATCTACAATAAGAGGTGGGTTTGAAGTGGATGAGCTTGTTGGAGGAAGACTTGAACGTGTATTAAGTAAGGCTTTTGGTAGTGTTTCCCACAGATGGTGCTAATGATGCTACCAAAAATTTGTACCTGCGAATTCTCGAGCTTGATGATTGATGATGAGCACGAACAAAGCCTTCTAATACCTAAGATAAAGGCGACGAAATGTGTCCTCATTATCCATTCGATGCTTAAATTAGAGAGAAAATTTATACTTGAGGCTATAAATTTGAAAATTATGTTAAAGCGTACCTGAATAATGAACAAAAGCTTGTATTTATAGGGTAGGTAGTGAACTCTCGACATGATTGGATAGTTGTATATCCTTGTCCCTAAGAGTTCAACCTGAGATGGGTGTTGAAATTGCACTATAATTGCGGGTATAATTATAATACAACTTTAATATTTATTGAGATAGATTCTTCCTAGATGTAGGAGTCTTAGATTGAGATGTTTGGATAGGTTTAGAATTCTTGAAGAGTAGGATCCTTTTGTGTTTAAGTAGGAAGGTCTTTGAATTTAGAGGAAAGTGCTTAGGACGTCCCGTCTTTGGATGGTTAAAATATCCCGAGAACTACCCCGAGGATGGTCGTAGCCAAATATCATGAAAGTAGGATATTAGTTCTCGGTGTAACTCTCAAGGACCCCATCATTCCCGAGGGCTCCCTAGCTGAATCATGCTAAACAAGCTTATATAGTCCTCCGGATATCCTCTGTCTATGCAAATAATGATCCTATTAGATACCAATTTTTAAATTTTTCTTTAAACTCATTTTTAACCAAATGTTTCATAATATTCATAACTTTTATTAATATCTACTAAAAATTTGATTTTTATCAAAACTTAACTAAGTAAAAATAAATTGAAGTTCAATGACTGACTTCAAACCTACGAGAAAGTTCAATGACATACTTTTCTCTTTATTCAGAATCCCCATTTTAACCTTTCAATCCTCCAGGCTCGCCCACAGAACACACCATGGGAGGGACAAAAGAAGAAAATCGGCGACAAAAAATCTAGCCCGGTCTAGGTCAGTCAAATATCGGAGTCATGAAGGGTAATAATGTCATTGCACAAGCGTCATCCTCCCGCTTCCCCATTTCTTTCTTCTGATCTTCAGCGAGCATCTTCTTCACCGAGCAAAACTTTTCAGTTCAGAGCAAGAAACAAGCCGTTAAATTAATTCCAAAAATCGCTATTTTTTTCTTCAAAACTCACGATTTCGGATTCGTGAGTATATTTATTGTTCATGGCTAAAACCTGAATTGAAATTGGAAAAAAAAGAGATTTGAAGATCTTCTACAGAACCAAGAAATGGCATCAATATCCACATATCTCTTAACCGTGACCCCCAAAACCCATTCTTTAACCCTCTCCCATAAAGCACTCAAACCCCCTAAACTCCACTATTTGCCACCCCTTTTTCTCCCCTCAAGTGTAAAATACCAGTGCCGTCGTAGACGTAATTCAGTTGTTTTGATTAGGGCTAGTAGCAGTAGTGGTATTGATGTTACTACGTCAGCAATTAAGCCCGGAGGCATCGTCGAGAGTGATAAATTGCCATCGGAGATGCGGAAGCGGGCCATGGATGCCATTGATTCGTTTGGAGGGAGGGTTACAATTGGTGACGTGGCAAGCAAGGCCGGGCTCAAGTTGAATGAAGCTCAGAAGGCCCTGCAAGCTCTCGCTGCCGACACTAATGGGTTCTTAGAGGTCATTCTTTCGCTCCCATTAAGCAATTATATCATCAATGTGAAGTCAAATTCATTTTGTAATTTCGAATTTTGGTATGCAAATGTAAGAGAACTTATAATTATAACGCAGCATGCTACATGAAATTATTAGAAAGTATATGGAGTCTAACTCATCCTAACAAAATCGGCTGGAGGATTGTCGTCACCTTATTAAGTGGATCGTGTAAATATTACCAGTAAGTGGATCGTATAAATATCACTAGCCAACGTGGGACTCTGATTCGCCCCCCTCACGCACAGCGTGGATCATGCCAAACAACCGTGAACAAATCGATATTGGGTGCACCCAACATTACAAAACTGGTCTGCTCTGATATCATATTAGAAAAGATATGGGCCTAACTCAACCTAACAAAATCGGATTGTTAGGGGAGGATTTGCCTCACCTTATTAAGTGGATCGTGTAAATATCACCGGTCAACGTGTGACTCTAATAAAAATTTTGAATTTTATATTCTTTTTTGGCCGTTTCAATATTGTAGTGCTATTTAACAGGTTTCGGATGAAGGTGATGTATTGTATGTTTTTCCTAAGGATTATCGATCAAAGCTCGCAGCGAAGTCTTTTAAGATAAAAATTGAACCTTTGTTTGAGAAGGCCAAGGTATGGGCATTTATTTGCAGATTATGGGATGTTGATTCAAGTTTGTATGTTTTGATTAAAATGATCCCTTATTTTTGTGACAGATGGCTACTGAGTATGTAGTGAGGGTCTCCTTCGGGACAGCACTTATTGCTTCTATTGTACTTGTTTATACCACGATAATTGCTATTCTCTCGAGTAGTCGGTATAACTTTTCGACATTGCATAAGCATTTCATGTCTATAATAAATTAACTGCATTCTATGCACTCTTATGTATCGATTTGCAAATATTAATTTCTTCCTTTTTCTTCTATCTGCAACAGTGAAGAGGACAATCGTGGAAGGCGAGGAAGATCTTATGATACAGGCTTCATGTTTTACTTGAGTCCAACTGATTTGTTCTGGTAATTCAAATTCTGGAGTTATGAAAACATAAGAGGGAACAGATAAAATTTGAGTGGATTTGTAAGGATCTGGGTGTCATGGTTGGAATCTTTGCTAGTTGATTTGGTTTTAGTTACTTGAAGTGGTGATATGTTGATATCCTCATCAAGGCATATAAATCTCGACTTTTATCCTGTAAGAAGTCGAAATTTAATATCTTTTTTATTGGTTAAAAGTGGACAGCTTGCTAAAAATATGTCAGGTGTTGACATAGCAGATTTTTTTAATAAAAAAATTGTGGATGCTATGTTACATTCATGCATAATTGCCTGCTAGAATGTTGTTTAGTTTTCGGAGAACTTATGTGGAAGTTTTCTGTGGTTGATGATGTCTAGTACATGATACCATTGATTATTTGGTTCAACCTTGTTGTGTCCGATATTTTTCAGAGCACCAAAATCACACTATTTTGGAAACAAAACTTTTCTTCTTTTTTATATCACTTTGAGAGAATGAAAGATTCTCAACCTCATTAATACAAGCTAGCACCATATTTCCTCTAGCTGGGTCAAGTTTGAGATTCTGTCAAACAAGCGTTTGTGACCTGATTCGGTTAGAAGCGATGCTGGCATATTCTTGTACTTTTGTCTGACGTGGAGAAGTACAAGAGGTCTTTTCTTACCTTGCCTGGTGCAATCATTTTTTCAGGTATTGGGATCCGTATTATTACAGGAGGCGACGAGTAAGAGAAGATGGTGGTGGGATGAACTTCATTGAGTCTGTAAGTCGCAACTTCTAACTTCACATTATGTGTTTCTGGTTGTCTTCCTACTAACTACATCCTGTTTTGCAGGTCTTCTCCTTTGTATTTGGGGATGGTGATCCAAATCAAGGTATCGAAGAAGAGAGGTGGAAGTTGGTAATAATTGAGCTCTGATTTGAGTGGTCCGTTACTTTTGATGTTTTTAATTTAAAATATCCTTCTGTTCACTATATCCTTTCGTTCTGTCAATCCTTAAAAGTATTTTGCAAATTCCTCATGCATATCAAATCAGTATACTAGGTTCGTTGTCTTTGCCATGTGTGACATACTTAATTTTTAGCTACTTGAAAGCTGAAATCCACCCTCAATAAGAGGCCAACTTTTGACACCTTTTCAGATTATAGTTATTGAGACTTTAGCTATTGAAGTATTTATAAATTTATGAAGAATGTACACCTTCAGGGACTTGGCCTCAGTTTAAGCTATGACCATCAGTTCTCAATTTTTACTTATGTTTTACATGGAATATCCAATTTTTGGATCAGTTTGATTGAATTTGTAGCTGGGTATGCTGTCAAACTCTTCTACTCTCCTTCACCCTCTATATAGAATTTAATCCTGGAGCTCAGTCATAACTTTGACTAGATGATTAATCGTGAGTTCTTCTGTCTTAAGAAATTTTTTTTGGTATTACTCCCATGTTGTTGAGGCAGTGCAACATTTGGTTATATACCAATCTCATTTCCCTCAGGTAATCCTTTGAACAATTAAGACTGCGGCATTGGACAATACATAGTGCAAAACTCTGGTGTTTACCACCTCAGACAGTGTTCTTGGAAGTTGGATGTCAATTGAACTTTTAGCCCTAAGATGAAATATGATTAGTGTGATATGTAATGTTGGATGCATTTTATTTCTCTGGCAGGTCATCCTGTTAGTTCTTCCTCAGTATCCTCTTTTATTTATGTCTTGTATAATCAACTTGAGTTATTATTTGCGATGCTTGTCAAAATAAACAACTAGCTTTTACATTAACTTTTTCACTAAAAGTCTAAAACGTTTCTGCAGATTGGACAATATATAGCATCAAATGGTGGTGTTGTCACAGCTGAAGAACTTGCGCCATATCTTGACGTAGGGACTGCTGAAAACACGGTAACTAACACTTGACATATACAGCTGAATGAAATCTTGTTATTAATTTGCTTTTGCGGGTTGAAAGCACGGGTAACTTTTGGATTTTGCAGTATTTAGTGCTTGTTCTGAGAGGTGCCGGAAAATATGTGTCATTTGGTTTAGAGTAATTGATGGAAAATCAAATCTTAACTTTTCCTCGGATGGTTTGTCTTCATTATATTTAGCCTGGGCTTGTTTTCTTTGTTTAAATAGTTTTGATATTCATGTTTATCACACCCAAAACATGTGCTTAATTCTGCCCCATTCCCAATATCTGAATATATAGTGTGTGGTTGTGGTTGTGCTTATTTTGTGATATTCATGTATATCACACCCAAAACATGTGCTTAATTCTGCCCCATTCCCAATATCTGAATCTATAGTGTGTGGATGTGTGGTTGTGGTTGTGCTAATTTTGTGCATACACTTGCACTCAGAATCATTCTTAGATTTTTTTCTCCCTTTGAGCAATTAAATGTACGTCAGTCCTTCTAGTAATCATGCTTTTTATGAATATTTTCCAGGATGATGACTCGTATATATTACCTGTACTTCTAAGATTTGATGGTCAGCCAGATATAGACGACGAGGTTTGGTTTCTTTGTCTTGGTGGACACGAAAGAAGTTTCACTTAGTGCATAAGTTTATTTATATGATTCAGTTCTCTTCAAATATCTTTAGTTACATAAAACCTGAAGAAGTCTGAATATTTGGAAGCTCAAAGCTTTCAACTGACATGTATTTGGTTTTATGTTTGTTTGCTATATTAATTAAAAACTAGGCCTAACTTTACACATGATGCCTTGTTTAATAAGGCGGTTTTGAGGTGCACCTCAGAAAAAGCCTCAAGGTGCGGATTTTTTGGCACTTTATATACAAAGTTTGCCGTGCATTGCCCATTATGGCAAAAATCATTCTCTCTTATGTAGAAATAGTATCATTTCTTTCTACATGGTACTAATATTTATAAATTACAAGTCTCAGGCATTTGTGGTTCATTAGTGTTTAACATGAACTGCAGTGAATGTGGTAGAGACATTTAAATGCTCCCATACTTCTCTGCTAATAGAAATCAGTATCAGCTCTCCAGATATTCTATACTCTTTGAAGATTTAATTTTTACGAACATAGTAGAACAAGAACAAGAAAGAGAAGCCTGAACTATTAAAGTGGGCTCATTTTTGGAAATTAGCAGAGTTTCCATTGGATGGTCAAAGGAAAATCTCCTTTGTGATGGCTGAAGGAACTTCTTTAATCAATAAGTGGCAGAATATTCATTTCTCCTTTTGCTTTTGGAACTCAGCTAGCGGAATAACAAATGATTGCATACCTTATATAGTTATTCTCAAATTCTTGCAAGCTTTCTAATTTGATTGAGAACCATTTAGGGTTGCTCATATGATTCCTCCGATACATCAAATTCTTCCTGGCTTCTGCCAAATTTATTTTGTTTTTAAAATTTGTTTTATCTTTACACTCTTCTAGGTGGTTTCTTTTCAAAATGAATTTCGTCTCTTTGTTTGATTTTTTCAATTTTAAAAGCTTTATGCTATACAATACGGCATTCATTTTTTATGTGGGATTGGTTCCTTCTATTTATATTCCACATAAAATTTCAAATATACCTAACTTCTGCTACCATTTTCTAATTTTTCCCTTTTCCTTTTTCCCTGTTGAGTAAACTGCTTTTCTTGCAGGGGAATATTTTGTACTGTTTTCCATCACTACAACGCACTGCTGCTCCACAGAGGAGTAGACAGAAGGAATATGTTGGAAGAAGATGGGCTGATTGGGTGGGAGGAGTTGAAAAGTTTTTTGAGGAAAAGAAATGGCAATTCAGGTATTCTTTTTATTTTTCATTTTTAATTTGGTTAGTTTCGTGTATCTGGTTATGTAACTTGAGAACTTGGTTTTGCAGCAAAACTAGTGCTTCAGAGAGGGCAATGGTGATTGGTCTGGGCGGGCTTAATCTATTTGGTGTTATAATTCTCAGTACCATGTTGAAGTACGATTAAACTAGCAATAGTTTCTATTTAGTAGTTTTTTCACTATTTTTTGTTGACCTCTTTGCTTGACTGATAACTTGAAGGAACATGACAACAAGTCCAAGTGGGTTCATATCATTTGTGTCCGACGTATTTCCCTTACTTCAGGTATGAAATCAAAATCCTCATGCATAATTGTGTCTCTTCCTAAAACCTGAATTTAATTGCAAGCTATGCCATTTAATTTGAATTTTGATATTGTACTCTTTGCTTGAACTTCAAAGCTAGGAACTGAGTGTTTCAGTACAGGTGAAAACTAATTGGCTAATTTCTTCATTTAGCATAAGCATGCCTTTCTACTATTTTTCCATTTATGGTTGCATTTAGGGCTTGTTTGATAGGTCCTTATTTTCCATGGAATTTGGAATTGAAATTCCATTTCCTACTTTTGTCATGTTTGATGACACTTTTTTTTCCCTTGAATTGGTTTTCCACCTTTGCTAGTTTTCTTGGTTTTAGTTGAATTGAAATTCCACCTTTTAGGTGGGAATTGAAATTCCATCTTTTTTTTGTGGCAATAGAAGCAAATTCTATCCCCAATTGAAAAAAAAATTATCCCTTTAATTGACAATTTCCATGTAAAACAAACCCAAACGAACGCAAAAAATTTTCCAAATTTTTTTTTTTTTTTTGGCAATCCAAACAAATTATATCTCAAATTGTAAGAAATTATATCCCTTTAATTGACAATTTTCATGAAAAACTAAGTAAAACGAACACTAAAAGATACAAAATTTCAACATTGTCCAGGTGAAAAATTATACCAATCAAACACAATTAATTGACAATTCCCAGTAAAACAAATTTTAGGCAATTCAATTCTCTATAATTCGTTTTCTTTCCACCCAAATTCCATCTTTGAATCAAATGGACCCTTAGGCCGTGTTTGATAGGCCACATTTTCCGGGGAAGTAGGAAATATTTTCCACTTTTTTGGCTGTTTGATAGGCGAAATTTTCCACGGAAAATATTTTCCGAATTTTCCCCACACGTGTGCAATTTCTGGGTTTTTGATGAAAATGTATTCCTGCCTTTTTGGTGGGAAAATAATTTCCCGGCTGACTGGAATTTTTTTTTTTTTTTGGGCAATGGAAACAAATGTCATAACTAATGGTAAAAAGAAAATTTCACTTTAATGGACAATTTTCATGTAAAACAAAGTCAAACGAACACTAAATTTTGATTAAAAAATGATTTTTTAGGAAACCATTTTTTTCCTTTTTTTTTTTTAACTTTTTGGCAATGGAAACAAATTTTATAACTAATTGTGGAAAAAAAAATCACGACAATTTCCATGTAAAACAAAACCAAACGAATAGAAAATTTAAAAATTTTTCGAGTGGAAAATTATACCAATCAAACACACTTGAAATCATTTTCCCTGCAAAACATTTTCTAGGCAAATCATTTCTCTATAAAACATTTTCTTTCCACCCATTTTCCACAATTGCAATCAAATTCACCCTTAGTGTTTTGAAGAGGCAAGGGAAGGTATCCGTAAACCACTTGATCTAAAAGTTTAAGATGTTAGATAGAGCTACTAGAAAGAATTGCTTATATTTCATTTAGTCTTCAGCACACCCATTCACTTGTAAGCATGGTTCACTTTTCCTGATCAAAGTCTTAAAATGTGCACAGTTCATTTGATCTTTCTTTTTAAAAAGAAAAGAAGTGCACAATTCAATTAAATGGGTGGTAGCGAGACTTGAGTCCAATATCTTTTTTACTTGATATCATGTTGAACCACTTGGGTTGAAAGCTTAAGCTTTTAGATAGGATCACATATGTATCATTTAAATAGTCTTCAACGGTATCTCTCCTGATCTTCTAATAAATCGTCTTTTCATTTCTTGTCATGTTTTTAAGTGGTTCATTTATTTTAGAGTCAGTTACTTACACAATGCAGCTGAGTTGTCAGAAGATATTTTTCATGATACTATGATGATTTAAATCCATAACTCGTGTGCTTAAACATCGTTAGTTTTATCATTAACCATAACTTGTGAAAGTCAGTACTTATCTGCAAGTCCTATAGAAGGGAAAACTTTTCATTTGCACACTTCTGAAGTTCTGGCTTTAACCTTGCAGATCTATGCTGGCTCTTTCTTTGCAATTCCTTTGTTTCGATGGTTTTTTGTTCAAAAGACAAATGCAGATATCGATAAAAGAAATCAAGCCAGGGCAAAACGTTCGCGTGCACTTGAATCACCGGATCTCTCTTTGAGGCGAAAGGTAAGCACAAAAGGATTTGTCATAATTGTCATAACTATGATCATTCAACTCTCTTTCTGATTCATATAATGCTATTCAAATTGGAACGAGCCATCAGAATTCTTCTCAAAGATTTTACATTAAGACTCTCTAAAAACACTGTTTGAATGCTCAGCTTACACTTGTCGTAGTCAGTTGAATGCTTAACAAGCCGAGACTGTGTAGAGTAGATATTTTAAGTGCAACACTGATTCTTTTTTTCTATATAGTTCTAATGTCAAACAGCTTTGCTATATTGTACTTTGTTCTTTGATTTTCGTTTATTTCTTTTCGGCATTGTGTTATTCAGGCTTGAAGTTCATACAGCATACTGTCTTCATTTTCCTTTTCCTAATAGTACCTCTTCTAATCTTCAAATATGTATTTCTGTTTAATACCATCAGCTTTTGAGCGCTCGAGACATGGCTCAAAGAACATTCATCGGTCAGGATCGAATTGTTTACAGTACCGATAAGGATCTATACGAGCAAGATTACGAGGCCCGAGAATGGGATCGGAGATTCAAAGAGATTGAAAAGTCTGACTAAATAAAACCAAAGTCAGTTATGCAGTTTTTTACAATGATAAATGTATTACAGGCAGGGTGGGACTGTCCATTGTTTTTTGTGTACATAAATATTTCTATTACTGATGCAGAGATCAGGGAACAAAACAGAATTGCTTGATGAGATGAAATTACATTGTCTTTGCTCTTCGAGAGCAACAACAATGTAAAGAATATTTATTAGGTCGAAGTAAACTCCAAGGCTATATTTTCACCTTCCAATTTTCATCATATCTGCGATTGATCAATCTAGGATTAATAACATTTTATTTATTCATTGATCGGAAGTATCAACTTAAATGTCAACTAAAGAAAATTAAGATTTAAATTATGGACACTTGGCTTAGTTAGTTAATTCTCAAATATTTTGGCTATTTTGAAAAATATATTTGCTTTTGAATACTATAGGCATAGATTTGAACATGTATTTAGAATTCATTTACACGTAAATTAAACACGAATCTTCAACAATTTTGTTATACTTTATCTCAATATGGATGCCACAAAAGTGTCACGTATGAACGAAGTTCCACATCGAAGCATCATGTGTGAGTAGGAGGCGAACCATTAGGCATCGCGAAGAACCGTGATAACACATAAGAGATACTCCACTCTTTCACAAACAAAATCTCAATACAAAAAATTACAAGCTCCAGCAGAAACAGTATTTATTTTTCTTACACTTAGCCCATGTTTGATTCCTTTTACTTTACTTTAATTTATTTTTCATACTCATTTTTAAACATACATCCAAACAATATAACATTTTACACGTAAACAATTTATTTATTTTTTAATTAAAGGTCACTAATGAGCAGGGGCGGACCCAGCACCTGACGAGCCCCGGCGGCCGCCCATGCTAGATCAGCTGAAACAATTTTTTCTTTTTTGTTTTAACAATGAATAATTTTTTTAGATGATATATCTAGTAACTTGTTTTAATTTCAAATATTTCCTGTAGTTCAATTGGTTAGAGTTCCTATATTCATATAAGAAGTCTCGATTTCAATTCCTTTTCCACCCCTTTTATTGTGAAAGAGTTTTAATTTTTTAATTTTTATCAAAATTAAATAGGATAAGGAGAGGAGAATCAAAACCTTTACTTCTTACTATGTCATTGAAAACTTGACCATTGTGACATTTACTAAATTTGAAATTAAACTAACCAGAATAATATATATTACATTTTGGCGGGTTTAATGCAATTCTAAAAAATTGATTATGTGTTCTTTCTTTGAATTATACAAAATTTGGTCACAATATTATTTGGTGAATATTGCTAATTTTTACAACAAAATTATATATGTTCAGTTTGAACAAAATAATTATTATATTTAAATTTTAGACCTTGTTTGATTCTTTTTTTTTTTTAAATACATTTTTCTTTCTTCTTTCAACCGCACATTTTTCA